TTGGGGCGGTAGTAGCTGCCCTTGGGGAGCTAGTCGGTGTGTGAGACAGTTGAAAGCGAGACTGCTGAGAGCGTTGACTGGTGGTTATGCTGAACGCACGCACTAAGCATGGTAACAATTCTATAGATGCAAGCGCACACCTGTCAGAGTAATATAAAATGGATGGAGTATCCAAGTATCGATCCTCAAGGACTTCTAAATAATTTTCAAACTCTAAAGTTTTAATGAATAGTGAACGTTGAGATGAGTGATTCTTGTAAAATGGGAAATGGTCACAAATAATGGTTTTGGATTTGGGATTTGATCTTATAATGGTAAAACCCAGCCCGAATTACTTCAAGTTAGCCAACAAAGAATCAAGGATACGCTGAAGACGGTATGCAGTTTACTTTAGGAACCAACGACTACGCTTTTCACTTGACTTATGTCTAAGCAAGTTCAAAGTCCTAAGACATTCCCTAATATGTCTATTATGAGAGATATCTTAGTTTTATGATGGAAATAGTCGCAACCTCGGGTTAAGGTCCTATGTCTAGGCTACTTAAGCGGAACCCTTATGTCTAAGGTGCTCCTCTCCTCGATTTAACCACTCAACAATACAAATAAGCAACCTTTTCAGTATTGACTTGTTAAGACTTACAGTGGCCTTCTCTAAATCCTAACTTTTTGGGAAAACATGTTGAGCAATGAATGGAAAGCAAAAACACTACTTCTTAGCAACCCTTTTTAGAAATAAAAGGCTAACTATCCATAACCGGGCTAGAGACGGGAATTTAGAAAGACATATTGAAGAAAATACAGCAAGTAAAATAGTTGAAATTGGAATGCATGTGTGAAAAACAAAAGTTAACTAACGGAGAGTTTTTATCGGGATTGAGAGCTTCGCCCTTCTCTTTCAAGCAAGGGGGAGTGTCACGTGCTCTTTCCTCCAAAAACACAACTCTGTTAACTAAAAATAAAGTAAAGGCAAAGGGAAGATAAGCAAAGTGCTGGATTTTTATATATTTGAATAAGTAGAAAATAACTAAGTACAAATGGAAACAAAAAAAAGCTCAATAAAGGAATGTAAAGTGCTCGGGATTTAAAAACCAAAAGCAACTAATGAAAGCAACTCAAAAGTACTTAGAAAGCAACAAAGAAACACTAAAAATGATCAAGAGAAGGAAGCAAGGCTTGATGACTTTGGTGGAGAAGCTGCTGGAATTTATAGCTGTGCAGAATTGGTTAGGTAGGTCCTAAAACGATGGTGAATCACCCATTTCCAACATCTTTGACTGACTAAATCGTGCTCAAACTGATAGTGGAACACTTCTTCTACACGTATGCATCGGTTGGAACCACCAAAACGCATTGGAAGACGCGTTTCATTAAGGGCAAAGTTGGAAGAAAACCAGTTTTTCTGCAGGCATGCAGGCGCCTGGCGCCTCCTGAGGTACTTTTCCGTCTTTTTGCTTCTTTTGATTAATTTCCACTCCCAAATGGTCCTAAAATGTCATAAATATAATATAAGCCAACCACAAACCATCATATATGAATTTTGCATGAATTGGAACTCAAACGACCGAGAAAAAGTCCGAAACAAAGTTAAAACATAGTAAAAACAGCATCTAAAACCTTCTTTTTACGCATGTAAACAAGCGTAATCAAGCGTGTTTGGGCCATTAGCTCAGCTCGTATAGGTAAGACTGACTTCACAAATGTAGCTTCCCATAGACGGCGCCAAATGTTTGAGTTAGAAATAGATAATTTCGGAAGAAGTGTAGGTCGGAGTGAATGGAACGATCTCTCTGCGTCGCCGAAGAACCTCCCTGAGTCCTTGAAGAACCTGCAAAACAATGTTAGCACTTCGACGAGCAAGTTAGCTCTTTATCCGATCTAACTGCCTCGGTGAAAAATGATTTGCGTACCTTGTACGAAAGGCAAGTGTCTCTATTTATAGAAATTGGACCCGACAGGAATTCTGACACCGCCTAAAAACGTGGCGTGATGTATTTAAGAAACACTGTTTTGGATGCAACTTTAGGTCGGCTCGTCCAACTCAGATCGTGCCATGTGTTTCGATCTAAGTGGACTTGAGCAAATTGTTATACTTTAAACGGGTTCTAATTCAAGTGTCTTTACGATGTTGACATGTGGCGGGTCAAAATCTGCATCCAACAACTGCCAAACACACCTTTATTGTGGATCAAAAACCTCAACATTGGTGACTTCACGGATAATGAAAATTTATCTAGAAGATTTCTAGGACTTGCAAATTATTTGGCTAAATTATTCAATGAAACTTAGTATTTGTAGTTGAAGGAATATAGTATTTCATGCTCTGATTATAAAAGATTATAGCTTATAATACAAGATGATAAAATTTGTAGTTTCTTTGAATTGTATGATAAATTCAACATACGGTCTTGAAGGAATTGTGATACCGCATCAAAGGAAGAATGTTTTGGAGCCAAAAAAAAAACAAAAAACAAAAGAAAATTGACATTTTGAAGAGGAAGGAAAAGTAATGTAAATTATGGTTACCTAATGTTATTTTTGTTTGGAATGAACGATTCACTATGCAATGAAAATATTTAATTTCTAAACTATTTAGAATTGAAAAATTGGATTGACATTGATGTTGATTTTCTAAGTAACGCATGCCATTATGTAGAATTGTATGTTCAGCCATAAAACTTATAAGAGACGTTCTTTACCATGTTTGTACTATTAGACAAAGATGGTTGGTGCCAAAGTGAGTATAGTTCAGTAGTAATTGGCATATATCTTCAACTAAGCAGTTGTGAGTTTGATCTCCACCTCATATGTCGTACTATAAAAAAATTTAAAAAAAAAAGTATTTAGGAACTCATTAGATAGAAGGATAAGAAGATGATATTCTACTTTCGAACTACATGTCTGACCCTTAGGAAAAAAATTTCGAGCTTGGAATGATTGAAGGGGTAATCGAAGGGTCTTATATTTAAATGAACTTTAGGAAAAATCGTAGTTAAGTCTAACTCAAATACTCCAAACGAATCATTGGAGCTCATAATAAAAGTAGCAATGTTTATAAGGTCTATTTGCTAGCCCTATAAAAAAATTTATGGAAGAAATAAGTTGAAAGAAAATTTTGATACATTCAAATTTAGGTCTAATATCATGGATTAGGTGCATTATAAAAATTTAAGAGAGAGTGTCTATTCTAATAAGTAGGGTTGGTGCTAGGGTTGGTGCATAGCCTATGAACTCTAGATAATCGATGTTAGGTCTAGGTTTAGGCATTGGCTGATGACTCATAGAGATAGTCGTTAGGTCTATGTTTAGGCATTGGCCGATGACTCATAGAGATAGTCGTTAGTTCTAGGTTTAGGCATTGGTCGATGACTCGTAGATAGTCCATATTGGCCTAAACATGGCAATGTGACCTGTGACTCAAATATTGTAGGGTAAAATACCAAAAGTACTAAGTAAATTCAAAAGTAAAACAAATCAAGAAGGATCGATGAAGGAGGCCGGAGAATAAAAGTCGAGGAATATAATGGTTCGACTGTAGTCTACATCCACTATTACATACTAGAAAGGGAGTTTTATTACCCAGTGAGATTTTATCGACAAATTATTGAGAACTCACACTTCTATCTTTTTTGGTTCATAGAGATTTGAGTTTAATTAGTATATCTAATTGATCCCTTAGACTTTAAAGAAACAGTTTAATCCTTAAGCTATGAAAAAGTATTTTAAATGGTCCATGAGAGCATTCAACAGTTAGTTGATTTAACAAAATGTTAATTTGACAATTAACACGTTGATTGGACTATGATGTAATCTCCATCATCTCCTGTCTCTCCCTTCTCTTTCCTTCTCTCGTTCTTCTCCGACAGACCTTTTGCTCAAAGCACTTAATTTTAGTGCAACATAAAATTTGAAGCATAATTCTAGCCAAAAATAAACATTTTGAATTGAGAATTCCCTTCTTCTCTTAAAGTACTTTGATAATGGTTAGTATAACTAAACTTATGAAGACAATAACAGTCTTCCTTAGGGATTAAGTTTAAGTTGGAAAGTTTAAATCTTCATCCCATATTTGTAATTTTTATATATTTTTCTAATAAAAAATAAAAATAAAAATGCTCATAAAGTAGGCCATTAAACAAAAACTAACTAAAATAAAATAATGGCCAACATGGACATAGCTCGATAATTGGTATGTACTCTTTATTTCAAGGTTGGAAGTTCAATACTCGTATCCCCACTTTGTTGTACTGAACAAAAGATGGAATGTTATAATTTCAACTCCCACTACAAAAAAAAATAAATAAATATGAAAGATAACGTTTAATTGGTAATTTATTGAGAATAAGAATCATAGAGTAAAACAACAAATCCTGTTTCAAAAAAGTAAAATAATATTAATAAAGAAGGAAAGTTTAGCCTAGAAATTTAAAGCCCAAAAAACTAGCAAATCAGAGCCGTTGATTTGAATTGATGAACATGAAGATTGGAGTTTGAGAATAAACCCCAAAACGATCCCCACAGAAAAGAATATTCCAACCAACGATTCCATTCCCCACAGACTCCACTCCCTGCTCTATAAAAATCCCCCAAACACTGCGAGAGAGAGAGAAAATCAAGAACTTGTAGAGAGAGAAAATCCGAATCCCAAATTCCCCACTACACCCACATAAGGAAAGCAGGAGTAAGATCGAAGAATGGGAGAGATGATTGTGAACAGCCAGTACCAGATCCTCCAGGAGATCGGCAGAGGACGATTCGGAATCATCACTCGCTGTTTTTGCCCCGTTTCCAACAACTTCTACGCCTGCAAGACCATCAACAAGAACGATTTGATCGACGAAACCGATCGAGAATGTCTCCAGAACGAGCCCAAAATCATGGCGCTTCTCCCTCCCCACCCCAATATTCTGCAATTGGTTGATGTTCTTGAGAGTGACGATTTCCTCTGCCTCATTTCCGAGCTCTGCGACTCCGTCTCGCTCTACGATCGGATCCTCAGCCGGCCGTT